TATCAGAACTGCATCTGAAAGCAGTGCCTTGTTTGTTCATGTTAGGAATAATAATCACCCCATTGCTTGGGAAAAAGCTTAGAAGTATTCAAATCATCTTGTGTCACAGAAAGACTTCTTGTTGAAGCTAGTTTGATTAAGGAATTAAAATCAATAAACCTTAGTGATGGTCAGTTCAAAACTGATAATATGTTACATAAATTTATTTGTCAGTGGCCCAAGGTTAAAAATGCTTTGAAAACCTTTGATCTAGATGTATGATAGTTATTCTGTGGGTCCCTTTTTTCTGACCTGACTTGGCTAGTCACGTCACCTCCCTTCTCTTAAGCTCCTCTACGTGTGTGTTGGTGTGGGGATTAGTGGATGTCATCATTTTGACCTGACCTCATGTTTTTAGGTCACCCTGTATATTTAAGCCTCTCTCTGTCCATGTAATCCAGTTGCCTCTGAAGATGTCTTGAATAAAGACGAAAGCTAAGGTATTCCGTTGTTTCCATCTTCCCGTGTGATTTTATCAAGATTTATCTTATCCACGTTGTCATTGTGGATTTACATGAAATATATATATATATATATATATATATATATATATATATATATATATATATATATATATATATATATATATATATATATATATACACTAGAGGAATCGCCGCCCTCTGGGAGGCTCCACATTGTCTCACTGTAGTACATTAAGGTAGACCACATTTTTGGTTTTGCCATTAGAGGCAAGTACGTACAAATTATTGCCAGTTCCCACTCTGGAGCATCCAACATAGAACTGTCCATGAGAGAAGCAAGGAAACACCACGTTTAGGCCAACCATCTTTAGGGACTGTCCCTGACTTTTGTAGATGGTCATGGCAAAGCTCACTTTAACCGGGAACTGAAGTCGCTTGAACTCAAATGGCAGGTAGGTGGGGATGAGAGGTATCCTTGGTATAAAAACGTCCTCTCCTTTAGCTTTTCCTGTCAGTATTGTAGCTTCCAGTACATGTGGCATCATGTTCTTCACCACCAGTCTTGTGCCATTGCAGAGGATTGGTGGTTCTAGATTTCTTAAGAACATTATAGGAGTTCCAATCTTGAGAGTGAGGTGGTGAGGAGGCATTCCAGCGGGCTCCAAAGAATTAAGGAGTTCTGCAGGGTACTGGACTGCTTGGTCCTGGTCGATTACTATATCAACAGATTTGAATGAGGTCTCACTGCCTGGAAGCTGTCTGAGTATAGTCATGTTGATTTCAACCACTGTTTCATTCTTTGGTGCCAGAATTGCGCGTTCACGTAGCCACTTGTGATCCTTGTAGTGGTGGATAATGTTTGGGTAAACCATGTTAGTGAGCTCAGTTGAGGACTTTACAACATATCCACATCCTTGAGGAATGATTATTTATCCTTCTGAATCAACAGGGAAAGTTCCATTCCCAATCTGTAGTAGAAGGTATGCAAATCGGCCAGCATCCTGATCTCCTTGTAGATGTACTCTCATGTTTGTGGATAGGGTGAGTGTCTGAACACTTCTCCAAAGGTATGATGCCTTGAAGCACGCATTCCGTTCATCAGCTGGAGTGCTTCGAGGAATGACAGGCAGGGTATGGCGAAAGTCTCCAGCAATGACCATTGTAATGCCACCCATGATCTGGTCAGTTTCTCGTATGTCTTGCAAGGTGCTGTCCAATGCTTCAAACGCTAACTTGTGAGACATAGTGCATTCATCTCAGACTATGAGGCTGCATTTTTCTAAGAGTTTTGCCTTTGCCGATCCTTTTTTGATGTTGCACACTGGATTCTCATTGTGAGCGTGGTTGAGAGGCAGTTTAAAAGTCGAATGTGCAGTACGTCCTCCTTCTAGTAGTGTTGCAGCAATGCCTGAGGATGCCACAGCAAGAGCAATTTTCCCCTGATAACGTACTTTGGCCAACAGTAGGTTGATCAGGAATGTTTTTTTCCTGTCCCGCCAGGTGCATCAAGAAAGATCATACCTCCCTGCTCCGCTTTTATCGCTAGCAAGATCTGTTCATAAGTATTTGCTTGATCAGGCACCAGGTGAGGCTCATTTTCTTTAAGAAAATTCACCAGAACTTCAACTGAGTAGTCTGTCTCTCTGAGCAACTCCCTGTTTGCAGCTACTGGTTCTTCTCGGTTTGGGGAAGGCAATCCAAAATTAGTCAGACTTTTTCCGCCAAGCTCCATCATTTTGTCTTCCAGCATGATCAGAGCCTTGTTCAACATGTCATCCATGAACTCAATCTCTTGACCAGGATGTTCTCTTCTTGCTTGATGAAGCAGATCCACTGAAAGACTTTCTTCGTGGTTTTTCCAGAGCTGCCTTAGGTTGGATAGTCCACATGTAGCAATCATGATGGCAAACAGGTTCCTCATTCTCACTGGCGATTAAGTAGCTGCTGCCTCTTTTAATGTGTCATTCCAGTGATCACCATCTTCCAGTAGGCCAAGGAGATTACACGCTTCCTAATCGGTTCTGCAGACTTGTCCATTCACTGTCTTCAGTGCTGCATATGATTTTGGGCCACGGATGTGGTGCAAAAGTAGTCTCAAACAATAGCATTCAAAATTGTTGAGGTGAACCCATTTGTTGTCTACTGTTATTTCACTGTCTGTTCCAGGTGGCAACACTGCTGTAAAACCTCCAGCGCCTGGTGCTGTTCTCCTGTAATGTGGATAGCTATCTTCTCCACTCTGAGTATCCTTTTTCAGGTCTTTTGGGAAGTTTTTGGTGCAACGTCCATCTTTCACGCAGGGAGAGTGTCTGTTGAATGGTCCACATGGCCCATGAATCATTTACTTCTTGATAATCTCATAGAGAACTGGATCTTCTTCTCGATGAGGAAACTCTGCTCGTATGCAGTTGTCCATCATGTTCAGTCGAAGTTTCTCTTTCAGCCAGATCAAGACATGGGCATGTGGTAGACCTCGTTTCTGCCACTCAATGGAGTACATGTAGCACCGTGTAGAGCCAAAGATTGATGCTTTTGTAAGCAAGTCCATGAGTTTGATAACTTTCTGACGAAATACTCTCGCTATAGTGTCATGCCGATCTTGTCCTTTCTGGCCTTCTATTTGAGCTTCTTTTATGTCAGTCCATACAGGGTTGCATGTAAAAGTAATGAAGAGATCTGGTCGTCCATAGTTTCTGATGTAGGTAAGGGCATCCTGAGTCTTTTCATGCATGTATCGCGGACCTCCAGTGAAGGAAGAGGGGAGAATCACCAGCTGTCCAACATTGGCCACATGTCCATCCCTTGCTACTGCATCTCTCAGATGAATGAAGTCATCAACCCTGAGTATCTTTTGGTTGAGTCGTATGAAGGTGAGTCTTTCTGTTTCTATTTTGGCATACATGTCCACTACAAACTGGTGGAAGAGGTTCCTTGATCTTAGTATCTGGTTGAAACTGTATTCTCTGATCATGAATATGTATGAATAAAAGTCATTGGATGAGACTTTCGTACCTACTTTTGCCACACCAGTCGCTGGATCTGTGTGAGGAATGTTCAAGTGATATCCGTCTTCACCTTTCCAGAAGTTGAGAGGACACTGCAGTGCATCATAGGATCGATGTGTCTCTGATATTCTTGTGAGCGACTCGTCTCTCATTTTGAGCATGATGTCTCGTTTCTCAAACTGTTGACCGACAATCAGGATGGCTACTTCATCAACTACAGGAGCATTGAATCTTCTTTCATGTTCTCCCTTAGGGGTCGTGTCTGCTTTGATCCTGACTTTGTACTCGTCAGAAGGCATGTTTTCCAGGGCATTTTTAAATGACTGTACATACTGTACGTGTTGCGCTCATGCAGCATTTCTTGGATAGATAGGACAATGTCATGTCTGACACCTTGACTGTTGCCACACCTAGTAGTAGCCTGCTTTTCATGATCTCCCATTAAGTAAATTTGGAGGAACTTTGCTTGCTCATCTTCCAGTGGTAAGAGGAATCCTGCTTTGTGATAGACTTGTGTTTGTTGATCGTTGTTTTAAAAGGGCTAAAAAATCCTTTCATTCCTCTCAGACCAGGCAAATTCCTACACCTAAGAATATTTTGACTCTGCCCTATCGTAATGAATTTGTCCCGTTAGTTCGGTCCCTCAAACTACTAAATATTAATGTTGTTTTCAAGTATGACTCAACCATTACCAATATGTTAATAAAAAATAGCCCAAGTTTGAATGTAAATGGAAGTGTTTATTGTATTCCATGTAGCAAATTTAATGGTAATTATGTAGGACAGACAGGAAAAACTTTGCAGCTCAAAATCAGACAACATAAGTACAATATCAGAACAGCATCTGAAAGCAGTGCCCTGTTCGTTCATGTTAGGAATAATAATCATCACATTGCTTGGAGAAAAGCTTAGAAGTATTCAAATCATCTTGTGTCACAGAAAGACTTCTGGTTGAAACTAGTTTGATTAAGGAATTAAAATCAATAAACCTTAGTGATGGTCAGTTCAAAACTGATAATATGTTACATAAATTTATTTGTCAGTGGCCCAAGGTTAAAAATGCCTTGAAAACCTTAGATCTAGATGTAGGATAGTTATTTAGTGGGTCCCTTATTTTTGACCTGACCTGACTAGTCACGTCGCCCCCTTCTCTTAAGCTCCTCTACGTGTGTATTGGTGTTGGTGTGTGGATTAGTGGATGACATCATTATGACCTGACCTCATGTTTTTAGGTCACCCTGTATATTTAAGCCTCTCTCTGTTCATGTAATCCAGTTGCCTCTGAAGATGTCTTGAATAAAGACGAAAGCTAAGGTGCTTCGTTGTTTCCCTTTTCCCGTGTAATTTTATCAAGATATATATATATATATATATATATATATATATATATATATATATATATATATATATATATATATATATATATATATATATATATATATATATATATATATATATATATAGATAGATAGATATAGATAATATCCCTTCGCATCACTCATTCCATTTTGTTCACGTAGTTGTTACTTACTCAAAGTTCATGTGGTGGGAGAGAACTTCTAATAGGTATCTCATAGGTCCTTCTATCATGTATGTTCCATTTGCCTGGAGTCTTGATGCTCCGAAGGGCATCCACTGTGGAAGGAAGTGAGAGGAAGGTGAGGGGAGGTGAGACAGAAATGAGTGGAAGGTGAGAGAGAGTGGTAAAAGTAAAGTGGGAGGGATAAACACAGATAGTGAGACGGAAGTAAAGGGGAGTCAAGAGAATGCAATAAACAACTGGCCGCTCATCAGGGGAATCGACTATTGATCGCAGATGAAAGTATTATCTCTAAGGTGTTTGACAAATAAACCTGACTTGAACTGTTTGAAAGATTTTCCTGGTTTGTATTTCATTACAGTATTAATCACGGTCGGTACTGACCTGCCCAGCGGCTACCTGGATAGTGGGTTTAGCTGCCGCCATGGTCTGGTAAAGTCTTGTAATCAAAACTTTTGAATGTGTCTTTATCCACGTGTGTTCCTCAACCAGATGATTGGCGCTGTCCGGACACTCTCGAATCTTAGGTGAAAAAAAAAGTTATAAATTATCTTAATTTTGCAGACATTATATATTCCGTGAGGCTAAAATGAATATTGTACTTTAATTATTACTTGAGAAAGCACCGGATCTTAATATCTTTGGATATTCAAGAAAGTATGCAATACATGAAAAGCCCCAGCGGCCAAAGGTCACACTAAGCCGTGCTCAACTCACGCCAGCTTTTCATTCAGTAGTATTAAGTTCCACACACACGCAAAGTTCGACCTGTAGACTGATCTGAAGGCTTGTGGAGCGTGCCGATTGCCTTTTCTCTATTAAATTTCACTTGAAGGCCAGAACTCAGTCTCTCATGGGCACAGTAGTCAAAGCGTGAGGATAGCCATGACTACTCCGCTCGCTCCAGAAGAAGTTGAAATAATATCATTGAGTACTGCATATGTATGTAAAGTGTTAGAAAAGGAGAAGAGGCGCTCTCATGATAAATGGTCTAGAGGATGGTTACCTAGGGGAAAGGTCACGGCAGGGTTAGCTCCGGAGGGATAATTATCAGATATGGCCAGTGATATGTGCGGTCTTGGGTATGAGTGTTTGTTGACCAAACTGGAGTGGTCCACTGAAGAATTGGCGAGGGCCAAGTTAGAAATTGAGAGGGCCACGTTGGAGAACCTGAAATTAAGGAAAGAGCTGGCGAAGTTAAAAGGAGAGGCTGGACGAGTAAAGCCAGTGTCTGACGAAAAATCAAACGAGTGGAAAGTCGTGAGTAGTGGGAGGACCAAGCTGGTGGTCAAGAAGCACTCGAAGGATACGACAACAACGACAACAACAGCTAAGTGTACCAACCCGTTCAGTCCCTTGATAGACGAATTGGACGTTAGTACAGTCAGGGGCAGGGATGACAAGGAAGGTATAAAAACTTTAATTGTTGGTGACTCACAGGTAAGGTACATGGACAGGGCCTTTTGTGGTAAAAACAAAAATAGGATGAGGGTGTGTTTGCCAGGAGCTGGGGTGGGGGATATAGTTGACAGGATGGACAATATCTTGTCTGGTAATGGGAACAAACCCATTATCTGCCTCAGTGCAGGAGGCAATGATATTGGCCGGTGTAGGAGCGAGGAACTTCTTGATAAGTTCAAGGCAGCCATAGATCGTATTAGGACTAAGGGAGGGATCCCTATCATATGCGGTGTCCTGCCTAGAAGGAGAGTTGGCAGTGAATGGTTGTCAAGGGCAGTTGGTGTTAACGACCGTCTTGACAGATATTGCAAGTCAATATCAGTCCCATTCATTGACAACTGGGACAACTTCTATGGCAGAAGGGACCTTTATGCTAGGGATGGGGTGCACCTGTCTAGGGATGGAGTAGCAACCCTGGCTGGGGCTCTAGAGGGGGCAGTTCAAAAGATATCGAAGTCTTTAAACTGCTAAGAGAACATAGGAGCACGGGGGTGGAGGAGACTGCAGTGGGAGCGGGTAAACAAGGCGAAAGATTACAGGGAAATAGTGTTAGGAATGATGACAAAACTAAATTAGACAGGGAGTTTAAAACTAAACGCGGTAAGGGAAGGACTCAGAACACGACTAACTTAAATGTATACTACGCGAACAGTAGAAGTATGAGAAACAAAATGGATGATATTAAGGCCTTGGTATGTACCGAAGAAATCGATATAATTGCATTCACTGAAACATGGATCAACCTAGACACACGTGAATTACCAGTCGAATACCAAATTGCGGGTTACAAACTGTTCCATACCGATAGGCAGACCAGGAAAGGAGGCGGAGTAGCAATCTATGTTAGGGATAATCTGAAGTGTGAAATAAATAAGGAAATAAAAACTGAGAGGAATACAGAAACAATTTGGATAGAATTAAGCGACGGTCGGGAAAAATTAATCACAGGGGTAATATATAGACCCCCCAATCTTGATAGCGTCAATGAGCGACTTATCTGGGATGAAATGCGCAGGGCTTCCATACACAACAAAGTCTGTATAGTAGGCGACTTTAACCTTGGCCAAATAGATTGGACTGTCCTTACGGGTAACTCAGAATCAGAGGATTTTCTCGAGACGATCCAGGACTGTTTCCTAAGTCAACATATAACCGAACCCACACGGGGTAATAATATACTGGATTTAGTTCTGACGAACAGAGAAAACCTCATTAGCAATGTCGAGGTAGGGAACGAACTTGCAAACAGCGATCACAAAGAAATTCGATTCCAGTTAGATTTTCAGGGCAGACGTAAGGAAAATTCCACTAAAGTACCAGATTTCAGAAGGGCAAACTTTGACAGTTTAAAGAGGCAGCTGAGAGAGGGGGTGTCGCGCTTGGCCGTGAACCTGACAGATGACACCGACCTGATAACGAGATCTGAGATTGCCGAGTTCCACGATAATTTAAATAGTGAGTTACTTAATGCACAAAGGCAGAACATACCATACAAAAAACTCAGATCAGACAACAATGACCCTAAATGGATAAATAATTATTTAAAGAACATCATTGGCCAAAGGAAGGCTATAGGTAGAAGGATAAATCGTGGCGAAATTCACCTCCGGGACTATTATAGGGTATTGGCGAGTAGAGTTAAAACCGAGATAAGGAAAGCAAAGAGGAATAATGAGGTAAGGATAGCAAGGGAGGCGAAGACAAACCCCAAAGGATTCTACCAAATGTATCAAACTAAAACACGAGAAAAGATTGGACCAATACGGTCAGACTCCGGCGAGCTCACTGATAACGACGGAGAAATGAGCAATAATTTGAATAAATATTTTTCAACAGTTTTCACCACCGAAAATCTAAACATGATACCCGAGGCACCGACTCTATTCAGAGATAGTGAAGAAAACAAATTAAGTGAGATAGTAGTGACTAGTAACGATGTTAGTAAGCAAATAGACAAACTAAAGCCTAATAAGTCACCTGGTCCCGATGAGATATTTGCCAGAGTATTAAAGGAATGTAAGGAAGAGCTTAGTATGCCCTTAGCAAAGTTGTTTAACATGTCCTTAAAAACAGGTGTAGTACCAGAATCCTGGAGGATAGCGAATGTAATACCGATTTTCAAGAAGGGGGATAGATCACTATCCTCTAACTACCGCCCAATCAGTCTAACATCAATAGTAGGCAAATTACTGGAAGCAATCATTTCAAACTCTATCCGAAATCACCTGGAGAAGCACATTGATCAATGATTCCCAGCATGGCTTCACAAGCGGACGTTCTTGCCTAACTAATCTATTAACATTCTTTTCATCAGTTTTCGAATCAGTGGACGAGGGGCACAATTATGATGTGGTATATCTCGACTTTAGCAAAGCCTTCGACAGAGTCCCCCACGAAAGACTAATTAGAAAGGTAGAAGCTCATGGCATCAAAGGTGACATCCCAAATGGATTAGGGCGTGGTTACAGGACAGGAAACAGCGAGTGAGCATTAACGGCACTAAGTCCCATTGGAGCAACGTCACAAGTGGAGTTCCCCAAGGCTCAGTACTTGGACCATTATTGTTTATTATATACATAAACGACATAGATATCGGCATAGACAGCAACATAAGTAAATTTGCTGATGACACTAAAATAGAACGTGTTATCAAATCTGACGAGGACTCGGCAAAACTACAGGAAGATCTAAAAAAAATTTTCGAATGGTCTGAAAAATGGCAGATGAAATTCAATGTAGACAAATGTAAAGTACTCAGTATAGGAGATGTAAACAGGGAAACCAGATACCAGATGAACAACGATGCCATAGAGAAATCCGACTGCGAGAGAGATTTAGGAGTAATGATAAGTAGGAACCTTAAGCCAAGTAAACAATGTGTTTTTGCTCGTAACAAGGCTAATAAAGTACTTGGGTTCATATAAAGGAGTGTTAGTTACAAGACTAGCGAGGTCATCCTAAAACTGTATCTTGCTCTTGTGAGACCACACCTGGATTACGCAGTTCAGTTCTGGTCACCGTATTACAGAATGGATATAGAATCCTTGGAAAGAATTCAGAGGAGAATGACAAGACTAATCCCGGGCATTAGGAACCTTGAGTATAGAGACAGGTTAAAGCATCTTAATTTGCACTCCCTCGAGAGACGTAGAGCCAGGGGCGACCTGATAGAGGTGTATAAGTGGAAGACAGGGCTAAACAAAGGGGACATTACAAAGGTACTCAAATTATCCAACCAGGAGCGAACTCGTAACAATGGTTTTAAATTAGACAAATTTAGATTTAGGCGTAAAATAGGTAAACACTGGTTTGGAAACAGAGTAGTGGATGAATGGAACAAGTTACCAAATATCATCATTAACTCGAATACACTGAATTGCTTCAAACATAGGTTGGATGCTCATATGAGCAATGGGGGTTGGGTGTAAACGGGACTGCCCAGTATGGGCCAATAGGCCCGCTGCAGTTTCCTCCATTCTTATGTTCTTATGTTCTTATGTAGAGATACATAAATTTTCTCATACTAGGCCGTTGACAGAACTACGATTGAAGCGTGGTGATTGGTTTAACTACCTCGAATAGATCAATAATAATACTTGAGGCTACTCTGTCGTCGAGCCCCTAATCAAGAAAGATGTCTATATGCGGAATCAATGGGGCATGTGCGCCAGCCCACACAAGTGAACTGCAGGCCAGGATTTAGATATTCCCTTTAAGCCTTCAAGTATTAGTGGTGAAGATTCTTACTTTATATATTCAGGTTGTGAAAAAAAAAACGAGAGAGGTGTTGCTATTCTTATAAACCATAAGTTGAGTAGTAGTGTAAAAGTATACTGGGTAGTGTAAGATAGAGTTTTGTTAGTCATGTTTGATGCTAAACCATGGCATGGACATGGTAATAATACAGGTTTATGCACCAACAAATGATAACAAGTGCAGTGTATTGGGGAGGAATGTGGGAGAGAAGGAGAGGCAGTGTTAACTCGTGGGCTTCCACCAAGAGAGTCACGTATATATATGTCATGGGCAGATTATTACAATTCACACCACTAGTGGCACCA